GTGTCAATATGCTCACAAAGCCAATGCTCTCTCCTGGGGCACCCCACTTCCTCCCCAGTACTCCCTTCTTCAGTCACCCTGTTTCCGTTTTCCAGGGGCTACTCTTGCCTGGCCCCATCTCCACTTGGCTAATTCCCCCTGTGGCCCCTGTATTGAACTGTTGTGTTGTCCATTTCCCTGTGACAGGGCTCTGGTTACAGAGTTATTGATTGGTTTTCATGCAGACAGATGGGCCCTTCCCCAGCTTCCATCGAAATCCCTGCCTGTATGGGCTGATTGTTGCCTCTCAGAGTGTAGGATTGCACTGGAGACCACCCTCCGTGCAACCTCCACGGCCCAGGCTGTGGACGGTAATAAATGGAGGCAGCCCAAGCGATAATAAAAGCAATTGAGTGGGTTACCTGTGCAGACACAAGATTTATGCCTCTTCATTTTGATGTGATTGTTTTATTGCGTTCTCAGAATAGTTGGGACACCATTTGTTTATTTATTTATTTAGGGGTCTCCCTTTCTTTTCCACTTTGTGTCACCATCCAAAACCCACCTGGAGCTTTCATAAGGGACAACCCTTCCTTTCTGCCTCTTCCCAAGAGTTGCCAGCTGAGGTAAAAACTCAGGGCAACCAGCCATCGCTCTCACCTGCAGGCCATTTTGTGGTCTGAAGGCCCGCTCTGAGCTAGCCAACAGGGAGACAGACGGATACAACCGCTGGCCAAAAAGTCTAAAATAACTAAGAGAACAAACATGGTTTTTCAGAAGAACACCAGCTCATGTGAAGGAATAAGAGGACCAACCGTCATGGCTGTTTCACATGTTACTCAGCAACAGGAGACCCTCTCCGGGGAGGGACAGGTGAGCAAGGCTTCTCAGACAGAAACCGACATGTGTGTTTGCTATTTATGACCCAATCTAGTGGGCCATGAAAGGCAAGTTCTCTGTCCTTATTTTCCTCATTCCTCTGTTGGGAGAAGTCTCCTTCTTAGCCCATCAAGTTGCCTTGGCTCTTTCCCTTGAGACCAAGAGCCCCAACCACCAAATAGCTGCAGAGCTATGAAGATGTCAAAGGAATAGCTGTGGTTTGAGCTCAGCTTCGTGTCAAGCTAGGTCCAAGAGTCAAATGTGCAATGTTCTAGAACCTGAGTTTCAGAGGGGGAGATAAAACCCTAGCCCTGAACATGTCCTCGGTGTTCCCTTGGCTAGGATAAGTGACTCCCAGCTTCTACGGAAAGGCCTTTGAATGAACAGCTGGTAGACCACTGTCACCCCGCTGCCAGAGCTCTGATGAAGACCTGTGAATGACACACGATGGAATTCTCTAACACATTGGGGCTGTGGCCTTCTTGAAGGCAGTGTTGCCCCTGCTAAAAGAATGAATATGCTCACTTAGAGCTGAACAGGGTGAAGAGAGTGTGGGGTAGCAGGTGTGCAGTGAGAGAGGGACCCTGGAAGAGTCCGCTCCAAAGATCGAGGGGCAGGGAGTACCCTGGTACCAAAATGGGTAGGGCAGGCTGAAAGAAGTTAGGAGAGTGATGGCCTTCTTGTCAGCTCATTCCCAGAGATTGCCCTCAGGGGATTTGCAGTAACCCTAGACTCTCCTTGCAGTCTGCGCTGTTCTTTCAAAGGAGCTGTATTGTCTCTGCCCAGAGCAACAGTATAATCAGGAAAATCCTTCCTACCTAGTGGATTGCGATGTAACTAGGCGACTTTTTCCCCTTTAGTAGCATGGATCTCCCTCCATCTTTTCCCCTCTGCAGGCCATTTCCCGCACCAGGTCTCAATCTCAAGTCACCTGTTTATACGTACCCGCCTCTACAACAGCAGTGTACAGGTTAAAGAACTGGCAACTCCACGCTCAGTGATCAGCCACCCAATATAGATGATGACTCAGATACTAAGGAATGATCCACATGCTAAGCAATCCAGTCAACCCTCTGGATTTTTGACAGTGGTCTCTGGGGTTGGGGGTGGGAGGCCTCCCTGACCTACCCCACCAGCTCAGAGAAGTAATTCTATGAGGAGCTGCCAACGGAGAATGTGGGCTGGCTGTCTAAACCTTTATCACGACAGGATCAGAGAAAGCCAAAACCATTTTGAAAGCATGAAAAGCAATTTAGTTTATAACCATAACAGCATATTTCAAGTGCGGCGACAGCATCTGTTTTGAGGAGAAGAATATGAAAAACCTTACGATTTGGCTCAGGTGGGTGAGCATGTGTGGACTTCCTTTCTTGCCAACCACCGGCACATGCACACCCTTACTCATAACGGTTATAAAGTACCCAACGCACGTGGGCATCTCACCAACAGTCAATCTCTCAACTCGAGAACTGCCTGTTGCCCCAATGCGCCACGCTTTCTGCACAGGAGGAAATCTCCAGGCTCTTCCCACAGAGAGGGGGAATTCACAAAGTTCCTGACATCACCAGCACCAGCAGAAACACCTGCCTTCATTAGGCTTTAGGGTGAAACAACACATTCCAGACAACCCTTCCCCCTTCGGAGCAAAGCACCAGCAAGGCTGAAGCTAAGGGTGTGGGGTATCTCTCCAGCCTCGACTCAGCAGCACTCTGGGGAAGCTCCCAGAATTCTTTCTAAAATATTAACCACGATGGGATTCTGTCCCAAAGCAAAATGGTGAATACCCTCACTGCTCCTTGGGGATAGAGCAAGCCTGGACGCCCAACTGCGGACCCAGGACTGTCTGCCCATTCCGCCAGTGGCTTTCCCGCTCCTTTCCTCCCACTCCTTCTTCATCCACAGCAACACCTGCCCACAGGTGGTTATTTCCTCACACCCAAAGGGAGCCTCTGTGCCCCTCAGGTGACGGGGCTCCGCCCTGAGCAGATTCTGCAGCTGTCAGAGCTGTTAAGCTGAGGCCGTCCTTTCTTGCCCTCTCATTGCAACCTGGACTCACCTCTCTACTCTTCCATAACTCTGGCAGATGCACCCTATGGCCTCTGGAATTTGATCTTGGGGTCACCTGTCCCCTATTCTCCATGGCTTTCCAGGATGAAAGCACCCCCAAACTTTTACCGAAGTCAGATTCCAAAAACATCTCAGCCTATGACACAGAGTATATTTTGGGGTGAGGGGAGCAAGGGGTGGTAGGAAAGGTGCTGGACAAGGGGTGCTGCCACCACACCTGCATCGGTGGCTCTGATCCCCCACCCATCAAGAGGGGCAAACCGCCTTAACCGTGCATGTCCTGGGCTCCTCCAAAGCAAACCCTATTGCTGACAGCAGCATTTCTCTCTAGTGTTTTCCAGAACACCAGCACCCAGTCCCAGCACCACTGCTCCCGAAGCAGGGCTGCTCTCCTCCCAAGACCTCAGTTACAACTCACACCAAGGACCAGCAGCCAGCGGAGAGGCTAAGTCTCCAGGTGGATCAGAAAACAACGCTCTGTCCTCTTTCCTTCCCTAGCCACCGCTCCTGCCTCCGACCCAGAGCATCCCCAGGCTCCTCCTCTAGCTTTTAAATGCAAAAGACTCATTCCTCTCCCAAACCACCCAGCGTCTTTCTCCTGCTCCTTCGGAAGGTGTCTGAAAGTCAAACTGCTATGCTTTCAATACCTAGCTGAGCCAGGCCCAGGGAGCTGGAGGGTTTTCGGAGGGTGTATAATTAGCTGATCAGTATTATGTTACCCTGTTCATAACTGAATAACCATTTTAATACAGATGGCACACACTGGGATAATTTCTGGGGTCGCCTTGCAGTGCGTTACAGCACAAGTGTGGCAGAGGGAATCTTCTTTAGCCAAGGTACATTCTACCAGCTAATTCTACCTGCTGTTTTCAGGATGATTTGGGATAATTCCATATCATTTGCAAAATATTTTTTTAAAAACCTTGACACGTGATGCCAGTTTCAGAAAAAGGCACCATCTGAGTTATTAGTTGTCCTGATAATGAGCCTATGAAGAGTGCAAAGAACAACAAGGGTATGAAACCCTTAACCCTCATCTCATTTGGGGATTTGCCTTAAAATAGGGGGCAGGGGTTGAAAGGCTGGCCAAGGTTATCTGGAACTTGTACAGGGTCTCTGTTAATGTCCGGTTGTACAGTTCTGGGATGCTGAAGCCACCCTGGGTTGCTGCATCCAACTCCTGCTTACATATGCTGTACCCACCCCAGATGGACACATTTGCACGCTGGCTGGGTGTACATACATGGGTGGAGTGTGCACAAGTGTACTTTCAGGGGACACGCTGGAGAGGCTTTGGGACAGGGAGACTAACTACCTTCTGCTATTATATGTCAAGTTGACTCCAGCCTGCATCGTCTCCATGTGCCTGAGCCTGTCATCAATGTACTCTTAGGCCTGGACATAGGCACTCTAGGTAGTCAGAGGCCTCTCCTAAGGTTCAGCTTCAGGATCCTGAGTTTCCCCTCCCTGACTGGCGTTCCACTCCTTGTCTAGCTTCTCTAGTCCCTGCCAATTGCTGGCTAGTGGTTGGCATTTGCTCCACAGGCCTGGATACTTCTGCTTGTAGGCCGGAAATTTGTGTGAAACTGGCTAGCAAAGCCTGGGCTCCGGGGAGGCAAGCTTTGTGGGAGTTGGCAGGGAGGGTGGGGGAGCCAGGACAGGCTGCTGCCCCTGGGGAAGGGAGCACGCCTTTAGAAAGGGAAGTCTGTTTGGAGGCGATGAATAGACACTGGTCATTTTAAAGGCTTCGGCTGTGGGCTGTGATTGTCTCTAGATACCGAGGCGCGTAATCTTGGAGTCTTAATTACCACAAACACTTGGATTCATTTCCAGGACACCGGCGGGAGAAGCCTGGCAGGGAATACCCAGCCCTAAGCTGGAGACAGCCCTGTTTGTCTGTCTCTCTGCCTCCCAGGTCCCCTCTCCATGCCCGAAAGACTTAGAGGCTGAGCGTGGGGAGGAAGGGCAGAGGCCTGGAGAAAGAACCAAGACCCCAAGGCCATGTGCTGGGGTGCCCTGGTGGGCAGGAGCTGGGAGCTGGAGTCCTGCCCTGCAGCCCAGGGAAGCTTGCTCACCTGTTGATGGAAGAGACACTGGGCACTGTGTCATTGTCGCAGATTCCCTCAGCCAGGAGCCGGTCACGGATTTCCCAGGCGAACATAGTTGGGTTCTGTCGCTTGTATTCAGCAATCTTGTCCACCACTTTGGGCGTCGCCACTTTGGGCTTGGAGCCACCTATCACTCCGGGCTTGATGCTGCCAGTCTCGTAGTACCTGCGCCGGGAAGGCCGGCGGGATCAGCGAGAAGCAGCAGTGGCAGGGCAGGGGTGGGGAGTGGGGGCTGTAGTTTCCAGAGCAGCTGGACTGCTCTCCTGCCTGAGGCAGCTGAGCAGAGGGAAAAGGCCCAGCTTGGCTAAGCCAGCTTCCAAAGCGAGCTTGGCTAGGGCGAGGAACAGAGGAGGATGAGGGAGAGTACAAGGAGTGCACTCCTTCCAGGAGGCAGTCATGCCAGTGGCTGGGTGTACACCAGCCGAAATAGGTGCCCCTGGGAGTAAAAGCCCAGCCTTTCATTTGGGAAGAGCAGGAGGAACCGCACTTCCAGACCCTGGGGCAGAGCAGGGCTGAGGCACCACCTCCAGCCCTTTCCCACTGGGTGCAGAGCCCCTGTGGGAACCAAGACCATCCTTCCACATTCTCAGTGCTAATTTTTCTCCTCTTGGGCACCGGCTTTAGCTCCTCTCCCTGCTCCTCCAATTCCCCAGTCCATATAAACTCTGCTAAAAGAACTGCCCCCTCCTTTTCTGAAGACAGGAATCAGGTTGCCTCCCAGAGCTGGGCAGGCGCTGAGTGACCCTGCTCCAACCTCGCTCCTGGGGCTGGAGCCATCACCTGAATGCTCTCTCCAAAAGGAGCAGCTCTCCAGATACACCGAGTCAGTTATTTCCCTCTCCCGCTGGCATCCTCAACTTTTAGCCAGGTCCTTAGGCTAGAGACCCAGGGCCGGCAGGGGAAGGAGGCAGGGCGTCCCCCTGGGGCAGCAGCTCCGAGGCCCTCACCTGCCCAGGATTTTGCTGACACAGCCGTGGCTGACCCGCAGCTGCCGGGATATGTCGCAGGGCCGCACACCCTGGTGGGCTAGCTCCACGATGCGCTGCCTCACCACGTCGGGCAGGGGTCGGCCGTTCACAAACACCCCCCCGAGCTGGTTCACACCCCCGTGCCCTGCTGGGGAGAGACAAGAAAAAAAAACAACACCCCACACACAGCAGGGACCAGCCATTAGTCAGGGTCCGCGGCCCAGGACGCGTGAAGGGAGCAGGCAGGGCAGAGGGGCATGTTCTCGGAGTCGCGGGAGAATGGTGGCCCGCAGACCACAATGCAGAGGATTGGGGATTGGAACCCGCGGGCCGGTAGAGACGCGGGAGCGCAGACGCTAGGCAGAGGGCTGGGAATTAACGCGGCTCAGACCAGTGGGACACAAGGGAGAAAGTGGAGGAAGGAACGGAGACTCAGAGCAAGCGAAAAGAGGGGAGAAGGGGGGAAAACAGCAAAGGGGGAATTAATGCCAGCAGGAAAGAATGTGGAAGAAAGGAACGCCCGGGCAGAGGACGTAACCTGCGCGGAGCGGGATCCCGCCTGAGCCGCAGGCAAGATGGAGTTGTCGGTGTGTGCGGGTGCTTTAGGGGGTCTAGGTCTGGGTGACTACATAAGAGCTCCGAACACAGAGAGGGACATCACTAAGTCTCTGACATACGCAAGTCCCTGACATCCCCCTCCTGCTCTCTACCTTTTTTTCCTTGTATTTATTTTTAATCGGATTGGGGTTTTCCTACCTCTTTCTCTGTGTTTTTGTTTTGTTCTGTTTTTTAATCGAGAGTTTTCGTTTCCTTTATGTTTTCTCTCTTCAGGTATTTGGGGGTCCATATTTCCCTCTCACCTCCCTAGTGTCTATAGTTCAAAGAAAGCCAGGTGGAGGCGGGAGGGCCGAAGAGGCAGGGGCCGGGAGTCGGCTGCGCTCCGAGACAGGGAGGCAGCGGTGAGCGCCGCGGCGCCGCGCGGGTATCAGCTGGAGGACGCGGGCGGCTAGGGCTCGCCTGCTGCGTTGCGCCAGGCTCGGGGACCCAGCGCCTCGCCCAGGTTGCCTGGTACAGGCCGCTCTGGCGGGCTGAGGGCTCACGGGGAACCCTGTGCAGCCAGCCCGGGCCAGCTCGCGTCCTTCTGACCTCTCAGACCTTGGCAGTCGCCCACAGCAAGGCGTTTGCTCGCTTGGCCAAGAGGAAGGCGCTGGGCTTCAAACCGGACTCCGGACTCCAGCTCGGGCTTCCAACCTCGGAGCCCGGATGGTTCCAGGTGATTACCGGATGCCAGGCCTGAGGGCGCTTGCTGACTCCCCATTCTCCCTGGCCTAAAGCAGTCTAGAAATCCTGCACCCAGAGCGATCAACCCGCAGCCGCAGTTACTGATCAATCCAAGCACGGAGACTTCTAGCGGCCGAGTTGGGCCGGACCCGGCCATCGACCTGCAGCCCCTGCCCTGCTAGCCTCGGGCGACTTTCGGAGAAAGCGGGGACATCTGCGTCCCGCTCAATTCTTTCCCTTCCCCTTCTAGGGGCGACCCATAGCACAGGCAGGCAAAACCCCTGGGGAGAGGCCTCGGAACCTGGAGGCTGGGGAAGGCCGGAACCTCTTATTTTACTCCCCATCTCTGCTGGTCTCCCTACCTCTAACCCCACTCTTCACCCCTCCCCGCCCTCCAAACCCCGACCATCAATAATTTAGGCCCCGGGAGAACTCGCGTTACCGGTATGAAAAGGCGGCAGCTGCGGGCAGATTAAAGATGAATAATTCAGCCTCCCCGGGCTCTGGGCCCGGTCCCTCATCCCCAATCTAAGGGGTGGGAATGGAAGGGAACACGGCGGGAGTCCAGGGCTGGGGGCCGGAGCCGGAGCTGAGTCGGGCCTGGATGCGCCACTGCCGCCGGCGCCCACTCCGGCTGCAGAGGCTTGCCAGCCGGCCCGCCGCCCGCCGCCCGCCGCCCTCCGCCCGCGCCACGGTCTCTCCCTTCCTCCGACCACCTTCAGCTCGCCTTGCTCCACTTTAGGTTTCAAAGTGGCACCCAGTGGGCAGCCAGGATTCGGCGGGTTCCCCGCGGGATCAGCCAGAGAAGAGAGCAAGCAGAGGCGGCCGGCTGAGAGGCAGGCGGGCTGGGCGAAGACGGCGTGCAGACCCGGTTTCACTCGCTCAGAAAGGGAGCCGGGATTTCTGGCTTGGCTCGCGGAGACTCGCGGCAGCCCGAGGCCCCTGGCTCAGATTTCCTGTGCTTGGGTATTATTTAGGAAAATACATTTTATCCCAGGAGTATCTTTTAAAGCTCCCCTTGTAACGCTTCATATATATATATATGCTTAGAGAAAAAACCGCTCTCCCTCCTCGGCTCTCTTGACTGAAGCACAGATCCAAGCTAGTTCTAAAAAGTTTCCCTCTGAAAAGTTACAAATCATCCTTAATTATTAATCTACAAAGGAAGAGATGTTTTATTTAGAATCTATTTACCTTTTAAAAAAATGAAGCCTGACAAAAATCTCTGAATTGTTTTCCAAGCTAAAGACATATGGCAAAAATTAAATCTAAATTTAATTAAAATAATTCCCCTTTCTTATTTTTTCATTTCTTCCCCCCCACGCTTTTTTTTTTTGTCACATCCTTTCTGTTTTCTCTCTTATTTTCTTCCCTGTGTTTTGATTTCTCTTTCCTTTCTCCCCAGCTTTGGCATTTGCCTTCCTTTTGTTCTTTCCCCTGTATTTTCTCCCTCTTTGCTTACCCCCTGGCCAGGTCACTGGCTAAATTGTCCTCACCAGGGAGTGGGAAGGTGGGCAAGGAGCCTCCAGAACTAGAAGCAGAGGCTTGCTCTATCCAGGTGCCTCCTGGAAGGTTCCTCTATTCCATCTTTTGCTGATTTTGATTTCTCCTTGGAACATCTCTTTGTTTTTAGAGTATCTCTCTGGGAGAGGTGAAGAAAGATGACCACCACATCCTGCCAATCTCAGACTCCCAACTCAAGGAGAAGAGAAGGAGAAAGAGAGGGAAGGGAGGGTGGAAAGAAAAAAGGAGGAAAGAAGTATTTCACGCCAGCCCACAAGAAGCCTTGGCTAGGCTGGCAGGGCACAGAGATGCTGGGAGCTGAGGGTCAGAAGGGGGCACCCCACCCCCATACTCTTCTGCCCGATTGTCCTGACACTGAGGCTGCTGGTGCTCCCAGTCCCATCCTGGACAACCACACTCTAAGTTGGAGAAAGGTACAGAGAGATGAGGGGCGGGAGGAGGGGAGGCAAACAGCGAGGGAGGAAGAGAGAGAAGATAGAGAAATCACAACACAACACAAACCCTGAAAACTGCCAGCCCATTTGTCACCCAGCCCAGGGCAAGAGGGTGACTAGGGAGTGGGGTTTCTGGAGGGGGTGGGCTGTGGATCCACGACTTAAGAAGAGGCAGGTGGAAGGAAGGCAGGTGATGGGCACCAGGAAAAGGCAGGAAGGCAGGTAGAAGGAGAAGTCTGGGTGACAGAAGGCGGAGGGAGAGAAACGGAAGGCTTTAGAAACAGTGGAAAATGAGCGAGGAAGAACGAAAGGGGAGACTGGGAGAAGCCAGCCTGGCCTCCAAGACGGGACCTGAGAACCGGGGGTCAGGGCCGCGCCAGGAAGGAACCGGGCTGGGACGGGGAGCCCCGAACTGGAACAGAAGCCGGGCGCCGGTACTCACGGTGCATCGCGGAGAAGGGGTCTGCTTTGCAGTGCATATCCATGGGGAGGCAGAGGAGCGGGAGCAGCGCGGCCGCCGCCGCCGTGTCGCCTCTCAAACTCAACTTCAGGACTTGAGGAGAAAAGGGAGGGACGATGGGGGTGGGGGTGAGCAGGCGCCCAGCTGCGGCAGGGCGCTGGGGGGCAGGGGGCGCCGCGCTGCTTTCCCGTTGGGGACTCGTCCCTGGCCGGCCGGAACTGGCAACCGCAGCGCCCGCAACTTCCCGCCGTCGGGGCGCGGGGCTGGGCGGTCAGCAGCACGGCCCCGAGGCGGCGGGCCGGGCCGGGGGGATCTGGGGGCGCATGGCGCTCGCGGCCGCTGCGGCCAGGGCTGAAGCTGGGAGCGGGAGGTGGCTCGCTCAGCTCCCCTGGAACCCGGTCATCTGAGAGGCGGCAGTCGGAGAGGGCGAGGAGCTGGGGCGGCCCGAGGGCGCCGGGCTGGGAGTCGGGCCGCTCCAAGTGCCGGTGAGTTGGCGAAGTTGGCAGAGAAGTAGCAATCCTCGGGATGTCTGGGCGGGCGCCTTCGGGAGGGGAGAGTGCGAGCCGGGCCCCCACCCCTGGAAAAGGCAGGCGCACGCTGCCGCGGCCGGAGGGCCGGGAGGGAGGGAGGGAGCGAGCGGCGCAGGCAGCACTGGGCTGGCCCCAGGTGGGTTGCGGCCGCGAGAAGACTCGGTCGGAGACTGGAGCCTCGGCTCCCGGTGTGTCTCTCTCTAAAAGCTGCAAAGTCCCCTCCAGACCCCCTCCCCCTCCCCGCGCTGGGAGATGGATGACTTGTCAGACAAAGGCAATAGATTCCACCACTCTGTGATTCGCCAGCGCCGGAGCCCCGAGCTTCGGCGAGGAGGGCCCCGCGCCTGTCACTCCGGTGCCGGCGAGGGGAGGGTAGGGGAGGGGGAAACGGGAGGGAGGAGGGAGCGGAGGGCGAAGGAAGAGGGAGGGAGGGGAGCGGGCCAGGGGGAGGAGGAAGGGGAGCCCGGGATTAAAACTACACTGAGAAACGAAACTCGCCGATAAGATAAACGTTAGATAAGGATAAAGAGCGGCCAGTCTAATGAATATTCAGGCAGCGACAGAGGGCCGCGGAGCGCACCGCGCTTGGAAGCCAGGCTGGAAGTCCCGACTCACCCAGCCCCGCCATCCACCGGCCAGTGCCCGCCTGGGCCACGCCGCCCGGAGCTGGGTCCGCATCCCTAGGCTTAGCCCCCTACTCTCCGCTCTGAGTTCCCTTCCGTTCCTTCCTTGTTCTTCCTTCCTCCCTTTGGTCCTTCCCTTTCCCCTTTCCCTCCTGAGGTACCTCCCCACCCACGCACCCCCAATTCTCATTCCGGGGCAAAGTGCCTGGCAGTTTGTCCTCTCCCCGTCCCACGCGCGGCTGCGCATAGGGCTTCCCTCACCCCCTTGCCCATTGGGATCCGGGCAGCCCAAAACACTCGGTTTAGAATAGAGGCGGAGGCCTAAGGCGAGGAGGACCCGTCTGCCTCAGTGGGACCGAACGGACAGTGGGAGAGCCCGGGTATTGGGCACCTGGACGCTAGGATGGCCCGGGAGGAGGGCTTGTGGAGGGACACAGTGCAGAGTGACTGGTCGCTGGCGGCAGAGAACGCGGGAAACCAGGGCTGGCTCTCCCCGGCTGGGGAGAAGAGGCTGCGAGCGAGGCTGAGCGCCGCCCGCTGCCAGCTCCCGGATCCGGAGCTAGCACAGGGGGCGCAGCGCGCCTGGCCGGGCCCGCTCCTACCCGAGCCGCCGGTCCAGCCTCCGCAGCTCTCGTCCGCACTAGCTCCCTCGCTCGCACGGGTCCGCTTGCACGCACCAGGCAGGAGAAGCCCTTTGTCTCCTAACTGGTTAAGTACAGAATATCCAGGAGATCTTTATGAAATATTTTCCCTCGTCTCATAAATCATCTTGGCACTTCAGCTGATGTTTTAACTCTCTCTCCCTCCTTCGCTCCCTCCCCCCGCTTCCCTGGGTCTGCGAAAGGGCGGTTCAGGGAAGCCCGCGCTGCGCTCCAGCCTCCGGGACTCAAGGCTCCGCTGGCCGATGCCTGCAGACCCTGGCTTTCGCCGAAGCGCCGCAGACCCATGCCACTGTCCCGCTGGCCGGAGCCTTGGCGGCAGCTAAGATGAGGGCCACACCCGCCCGACTCAGCCAGGGGACTCCTATTGGACCTCTTGCACCCAGGTTTTGAGGCGCCTTTAATCCCCCTGCGGGGCTAGGTCCAGGCTCAGCCCGAGAGTTTGAGCCTCCCATTCCTTAGGGGACCGGGGCCTTCCGGGATCCTAACGTTGCCCTGCTGGCTGGATCCTCCTGATCCCGGTCCACTTAGTCCACCTGCGGAGTAACTTCTGGGAGGGAAAGAAACAAAACAAAACAAAAACAAAACAAAACAAAAAACCCTGTCCGCCCTGCCTCCTCCCTCGCAGTCCCCAACCCCACTTCCCTTGGGTGGCCAAGATGATTCCCTGGGGCAGGAGGTGGAAGGCGCAGGGTCCAGCCCCGAAGGTCAGTCTCTTCCTCTCGAGACCTGCAGATGGCGCTCCCGGGTTTGCTTTGGCCTCACAACCCCACGAACACGCATTAACTTCGTGTGTGGAGTGAAAAAGCAAAACAGAGTTCTCACAGCCTAAAGGGAAAAGCTCCCACCCCTAGGACTGGGACTAAAAGGCTCTCAGGTGATATTAGTTGGTACAGCCTTGGGCTTTCTTCAGAGAGGCAGTTAACCCAGAATTGGGGGGTGGCGGGGGCGGGGGGACGGGGAAAACATGGAGGAAAGGTCCTTACTGAAAGGAACTCAGAACTCAAGGCGCCCTTTGCTCCGTGTCTTCCTATGGTGGTCCAGGAAGTTGTCTTCGCGAGGTTGAACTATTGAAGGAGCAAGACTGTGGGCAGAACCCCCTCTACACAGACTCAGATTTTTCTATAATAAGATGGACACACCCCACGGTTACATATGTGATGAAGCGTGGGTGCAGACAACAGGCATTTGCAAGAGGCAGTTTCATCTTTTGTAAAGGACACTTAATGCAAAACTATGCTGGAAGTTGTACTCACACACCTATCCTCCACATGTACTCCCTGAAAAGTGAAGACCTTTCCAAGATAGTCCATTTCACAGCTAGCTCCTGAGATTCCAGAACTCCACCCACCCACCCCACTTCAGCCCCTCCTAGGACCCTTTCTCTACCCAGCACTAGCTGGACACTCACCCTCCCACCAGGGCAGCCCTTGGCAGCTTCCTCCTTAGCTCCAGCCCTTCCTGGGTTTAGAAAGTCAAAGAGCCCCGTTCCTTAGTGATTTTAGCCAAGACTCTGCCTTCTCCAGGCTGAAGGGCTGGCCTCTCCCTCTGATGCTCTCTTTTCTGTTCTTCCCTTTCTTCTTCTATAGAGCCTAGTAGAGAAGAAAAAAAGCAAGAAAGGAAAAAAGGGAAGAAGAGAGAAGAGGAAAGAGGAAAAGAAAGAGAAGGAAAGAAAACAACCCAACCCCAAACACGACCCGGGCTCCGACCTGTCAGGGTTGGTTGCTTTTCCCGTCTGCCTCTAAATGAACCTTTTCTCTCTGGTGTTTTCAAAGCAGCCCTTCCACCCCCCAACCTAGGGGCATTTACACTTCAAACAAGGCGCCCGCCTCCCTGCGGAAATTTAAAGGCAAATAAACTTTTGGGGAGTTGCTCTGATACCCATCTCGGGATTTGCTTCATTAGCCGCCTCTGTGCATCTGATCTGCCCAATAAATCTTCCTTGTGGATCTCTGTTCCTTTACCTTCTCCACTCCCTTCTCTGCCAGGCTTGCCTGGCGCCCAGTGCCCCCACCCTCGCCGCCTTCCTCTGGCACAGACGCGGCCCTTCTGAGTCTCCGGTTGTCTGGAGCCTGCTCTTCCAGGGTGTAGGTGAGCAGGAGGTGGCGGTCCCCCTTGAGCTCCTTTCTCCTCCCCCACAGGGTGCACGTGCACAGGCCCCCAAGCCAAACCAAGCACGACTAGCACTCCAAATTCCCAAATGAGTTTCTGGGCAGATTGTGTGTGAAGCAAAGGGCTTACGGAAATCCTGTCCACTGTCCCCAACTGCACCCCAATTTTGTAATCCTTCCGCTCATTTTCAGTTTCCCTGTCCCTGGTCCAGGGCTTTTCACCCCTTGAGGAAAAGCAGAGATGTCTCTGCCTCCCCTCCACAGGCAGGGCCCTGACCTGGGGCTCAGGCACCCGACCTCAAGGAGTTTGGGAAGGTGGCTGGGCCTGGGGGGTGCGGCAGAAAGTCCCCCAGCCGCGCTCTGTTGGCCTGGGCCTGTCTTCCTGCTTCCACTCCTGGCACCTCCCGGGGAGCAGCGAGGGGAGCCAGGGCCGAGGCTCTCAGGGAAGGGATTAGAAATTCCGAAATTAAATGCATCTCCCTAGGAAATGCTTCCCACAGCGCGGACCAAATTAAACGCATTAAAGTTCAGGGGGGAAAGAAGCTGTTTAGAACCAAGGGGGAAAAACTAGTCCGAAGGGAAGAGAAGCAGAAACGGAGGAGGGAAGAGAGGAGGGTAGTGCAGAACAGCAGCTCCGCAGCTGAACTCCTTTTCTGAATTATTCCCGGTTTGGGAAGTCATCACCCCCACAAAAAAGGAAAGAAGAAAAAGTTCGTCTGACAACCCAAGTCCGGACCCCCAGCGACCCACTCTCCCCAAGGGTCCCGGCCCACCCCGGCCCACCCCGGCCGCACACTCTGAGATCAGATTCTGGGCAGTGGGCGCACGCATCCCGCCCCCTCTCCAGCTCGGCCAGACCAGCTCCCGCCCAGCCCCTTCCCCTCCTCCTCCCCATACTCTCCCCGTCCCTCCCCCTTCCTAGCCCTCTGGTCACGTTGGAGGATGGGTTTTTTTTTTTTTTTTTTTTTTTTTGGAAGAGCTTCTGGTACAATATGGAGCACCATGGGCTGCAATTTCACACTCCACGGCACATTCCCCCTAAAGCTACTTTCTTCTTCTTTTTTTTCATCTAAGACCCCCTAATTTCTGCTTCCTCGCTCCC